GCCTCCTCCCGCTGCCCGCGCGCAAGTTTGGCCGCTCCAGCCCGGCGCGCCTCGGCACCCGGGCGCCTTCGTTCCTGCTGGCCTCGGCGTGCCCTGCTCGGCGGGGACCCTCGGGAGCGATGCCGATGGATGTGATTTTAGTTTTAGGGTTCTGCGTGTGCACCGCCAGGACAGGTAAGCAGGGCTGGGGCGCTGGAGGGATTGGGGGAAAGGGGAGGAGGCGCCCCGCGTCCACACTGGCGCAGGCAGACCCGGCCCGGGCCAGGCGCTGGCCTGGGGAAGGGCAGCGGCGTGGGTTGGTCCTTTAGATCTCTGTGGCCGGCGCAGGGCGAAAGGGCGACGCGGGGACTCGCGGGTTTGCAGAGGTCCCCCGAGTGTCCTCCTCCCGGGGGACGCGGCTGCGGGCTCTCGGGAGTGAGGGGAGCGGCCGCGAGGTCGCAGCCTCGAGCTGCTGAAAACCGGCTTTCCTGCTGCGGGGAGTCCAGACCCCCGGCAGGGCGGGCCCGCGAGCCCCACGTCCTGGAACTTGGAAGATGCGGGAGAAACCGCTCCCCGAGCCGGGCCGGGGACCCGAACCCGCAGAGGGGCGCACGGCGGGCGGCGCGGCCGGGTGAGAGGACCCGCGACCCGCGCTCTCTCTCCGACCCGGTCCCCGTCCCCGCAGACTTCCAGGGCAACTCCGGGAGCATTCATTCTCTCGCCCCTTCGGCCCCAACGGTTGGGCAAACAGTTTTATTCGGTGGGATTGGAGCAGCGGTGAGCATGGGGAGATTTGCTGTAGCTATAATGGATCGCGGGGCGCGGGGGAGCAAGGACAACTGGCGTAATTGTCTCAAGTCTCCACTCCGCTTTGCCTCCCGAGGCGCAGGTGTGGGACTCCACGAGCGGCTCCTTCCTTCCACTTGCACCGGCTCCCCTCTCCCCAAGTCCCCTGGGGCTCGCGACCGGCATGTAGACGCTCTCTTTAAGGAGCTACTAGTAGAAGCTGGGAGATCCGAGTGAGCTGAGGTGGGGTAGAAATAGGCAAAAATAGGAGGCGCCTGTAGGCGGGGTCGTTGGAATTCTCAGTTCCAAGCCAGACGTCTGTCCTCTGCCCGGGCTGTCCACTGACTTTGAACCCCAGGATGTGTGTGTGGCCATCCCCTCGCTCCTCATCTTTTACCCTTTAGTACTCTGATTTTTCTTCTCCAGAGGTGTAGCCTCCTTCCCCGACCATTGAGCAAGTTTATCCGGAGAGGGCTGAGGAGGGGCGCCGGCCCTTGGTTGGCTCAAAAGTTCCCTCCGCTTGCGCCCTAGGCGCCCCTCTAGGCAGTAGCCCGCCGGAGAAGCCGGGGGTCCTAGGGGACTAGGAGCTTCCTGCTGGGGACTGCGCAGGGGCGGCTTTCCTTTTGCTTAATCCGTTTCTCCAGGGACAAAAGACGCCCCCTCCCTTTCCTCTCTCCCGCGGAGGTGCCCTGGCTGCAGACGCGCCCAGACTCAGGCTACTCTAGAAGAGCTGCTTCTCAAATTCAGGCTTTTCGGGAAGGATGGGTTAATCTTTCAAAACTAAGAGCACACCGGCAGGAACGCTTTCCAGGAGGAGGAAGACGACCCGCGAGGCTAGTGCAGAGCTGGGCTATGGCCAGCCCAGAGCCCCAGAGAGAGGAGAGAGTGATGGTGCGGATGGTGCAGATGCGCGCCTCAGAGCGGATCCGAAGACGAGGAAGAGCTAGTTGGGTGAGGAGGCCGCCCAGGGGTCACTGAACAGCCACAAGTGCATACCACAGCCCAGCGTGTCCAAAACCTTTGTTCTCATCACTCCTTTGAAAAGTTACCCCACAAAACTCCCCTTCCAGAGTGCACTGGCTGTCTTCCCAGGGCACATTGCTTGTGCACGTCCTTAAGCACACCATGGGGTCTCCCTCCCACCCCCAAGACCGTTCAATCTTGTAAACAGTTGGTGATAGGGGAAGATTCATTCATGTACTTACTTCATTCCGCAGCGGTTCAGTGTCTTGTTAGTTACGCAGTAACATATGAAAAGGAAATGACTTGGTCCCTGACACTGGGACCTTAGAGTTTAGCAGAGAATCTAGGTAGCAGCTGGAAAGCACTTTCATTACACAGCTTGATGGGGTGGGGTGCGATTTTAAGAAGTTTGTGTGAAGGAAGTGCACAGCGGGAGGGTGTGAGTTAATTGTAGGGAGAGGTGGAGGTGGTCAGGGAAAGTGACATTTGAGAGTTGTGTCTTGCTGGGGCCTTGAGCCGGGAAAGTGGGACGCACTTTGCACAGAACAGGACTTTGCAAAGCAGAGCAACATGGGATGGCCTGCCTCATTGGTTGTAGCTGTTGCCTGGGGAGCTCGACTTATCAGTGCCCCTTGGCCCTGTGCTAGCGGAACACCGTAGGTCACATATCTGTTCTACAAAAATTATCAGAAGAATCAAAGAGTTAAGGAGGGAATAACTTTAGCTTGCATTTATACACTTACCATTTCTTTACATGCAAGTAGCCTTTTTGATTTTGCTGGATATCCGCATTCCCACATCACACATCCATCCAGTTCTGTAGGTAGCGAAGGCTGGCTGGTTATTAGTTTATCAGGATCCAAACAGCTGCTTGGAAAGTTTATTTTTCAAGTGAGACAATTGTTGTGCAGGCTGTTAACAGTCCCAGATGAAATAAACATGTGGTTCACTTAGTGAGCTGCTCGGGTATCACTGCTTTTTAATGGAAATGAATAGATGATATCAGGCACATTTTAATTAAAGCAAGACTGCAGTGCAGAAGCAGTTACATATGAAAAGATCTAATGATAGGTGTCGTAAGGAAGCTGCGTACACTGTTCTTGTTCCGAAAGCTTGTTTTAGAGTGCAGAATGGAGTCAAGGTGCTTTTGTTCTTGTTTCTAGATGCAAATAATCTGGGACTTCCAGGCACAACACTAATAGGGAAATCTTGGAAGGCTACAGTGATAGCAGTTTCCATGAGTTTTCTCCAATGGTTTGGAAGTGTGAGTTACATGAACTCAAGAATTATTCTCCCTTTGCTTTCCAGTTTGCCTTGGTCACCAGGGTAGGGAGTGGAGGGAGCGCTGTACCTGTAACATCAGTGCCCCTAGGTGCCCAGGGGAATGCCTTTTGCTGCCACCTGCTGGATGGGAAAGATTTTTCTTTTGGAAGCAATTCCCAGGTGGTTTATTAATTGTGAATTGAATAATTGAGCTGTGAAAATGAGCCTGGGGCCTCCAGAGATAAAAAATATTGGCTAACTTGAAACAAACACAGAGCAGCTTCTTCAAGGAAATTGCTTCTGGGTGTTCAGAACTGATCAAGTGGTTGTGAAATCCTGCTGTTAAATGAGATCTTACAGCATCTTTCCGGCGTCATTTTACTCCTCATGGACCTCGAAAATAGCTGTCATCATGAGCAATAAGCTGGATTAGATTTGAATTGAGCCAGACGCAAGAGGATATGCTTGGAGGCCTAGCTCCTGGACATCAAAGGTGGGTGAGTGGGCTTTGGGCTCAAACACTCCCAGGGCATGGCTAAGGAGTGCCCAGTAGCAGCAGGTGTCGTGGTTAAAGTCAAAGCTCTGAATCTCTGGGCCAGGCCTCAAGTGCCTCTGTGGCACTGACATGCTGCCTTCCAGGTTTCAAAAATGTCTCCTATCCAGGAGCTTTTTATCCTGCTTAATTCTAATTCCCAGCTTCAACCATTTGTAGAGCTGTTATGTCAAAAGTAGAAAACTTTATAATAGAGTTTCCTAGGAAAGGGCAGGAATTGCACGCCTGGAGAAGAAGCAGAAACATTAAAATAAAAATATTAATGAAACTCATACTCTTGTACTACATAAGGTTCAGGAGAGGCCGTGTAAATGCTGCCTTATTAATAGGTTTTCTGATTCCCTAGGTGGTGTGCAAAGTGCTACCCTTTATACCTCCTGCTGTTGGCACTGGGCATTTGCATCCTGAAGGGGACCAGTTAAAGGGAGAGAAGAGAATTCTACCAGAAACCTAATTGATTTCTTTTCTCTTGTTCTGTTTTTATGAGATGTTTTCATAAAAAGAGTGAAACAGTTATCGGTGGGGAGGAAGGCCACCTGAATGTTTTGCATTATTCTGATGAGTTGAGGCCTAGAGAGATGGAGTAGAATAGGAAGACGGACTATTATAAAAGGCAAGCGAAGCAGACCCCAGTTGGACATCAACTCTGCACAAGCCTTGGCTGTTGGGAGTGTTCCTGGGGTTGCTGCCGAGACCTCAGGAGTCAGGGAGGGGTATTACCACCTCCTTTTCACAGATGAGGAAACAGAGGCTTGGAGAAGTAATTTTTCCAAGAAGTAATATAATTTGCAGAGGGAAGAGACAGGACTGCATGTGGCTTTTAATTTAGCGTGTTTTGCAACACCTTCTGGACTGAGGGTGCTGTGTCTCAGGACTCTAGTTACTGTTGGGACATAGTCAGTTCTGCAGAGTCTGTTTGAGTGCTTTCTAGGCTGGTGCAATTTCAGGGCTCCTGGTCTGGGAGACTTGGTATCTTTAGGATGATCATGGTAGTGAGTCCTTGAATCAGTTACTACCACAATAATGTCACGTAACAGTGACTTAAAACAACAGTCATTTATTTTGAGTCACATATCTGTAGATTGCTCTAGCGTTGCCTTACCTAAGCCAGGCTTGGTGGAGCTTAGTTCCAAATTTAAGTGGATGCCTGTGCCATGTGTCTTAGTCTTCTTGGAACAGTGGGCCTGAAGGGCCATGTTCTCCTAACACTGCAGAAGTACTAGACAGTCAGGTCCCACTGTGCAAGCGCATTTAAGCCTCTCCTTGTGTAATGGTTACTAAAATCCCAATGGCCAACCCTGGTTACATGGCTGAGCTCAGAGTCGAGGGATGGGAGATTTCCTCTCACTCTAGAGGGAATAAGTTCATAGCCACATGTCACAGAGTGTGGATATGGGGGAGATAAAGGCTTGAGGCCAATAATTCAGACAGCCATAGTCTCCCTACAAGGCTTCCTCAGCCTGGATGCCATCCCATCTTCTCATGGTATCCCTAGGTATGCGTATTGCTCTGATGTCTTTGTTCCCAAAGCAGTGATATTGAACCTACTCATCAGATAATTATTCAAGTTCTAAATTGAAAGCCTGTAATATGTCAGGGCCTGTGCAAGGCATTGGGGCCAGAGGGACACTGCCTTTCTTTTGTGTCCAGTGAAGAGCACAATCTCCAGGCCACTTTCAAATTCTTGGTCAGAGAAAGATCAGCTTGGAAGTCTTTTGAGATCACCCTTGACTTAATTTCTGCCAGGTAGGTACAGAACTCTATAGATCAAATTGAAATATAAGTTTCTTCCCTCTCTTTTCAAGGTGGTCATAGAACTGCTAGCACCTGAATGCACTTAGAGAAAAACATTCTAAGTCCAAACAGCAGGGTCTTGCTGCTGGACTTGGGATGATAGAAAATCAGCTGGTTTACTTCTGCTTTGCACAGAGTAGCTGCTTCTGAACTGGGTCTGTGTGTAGGATGAACAAGAGCGAGCAGTTGGAAACTTAAAGCTAGGTCATATTTAGAGTAAGTCAGAGCATTACTGATCACCTTTAAATGTAAACCTCATACGACTCCAAGGATACCCCATAAGAATTAGGGCAATAGTCAAGCTCCCTGTTGCAGGCTCTATGAGAACATTCCCAGTGCCCAGCCATGCATAGATTCATAGTACGCCCTTAGTGATGCCTGTTAAAAACTTACTAGATAGATGAACACAGAGTCTGTGAAAGTAACAGTTTTCTTGGGGTAAACTGGCCCCATAACTGGCTGTATTTCAAAGGAGAGAATTCAAACTGTCAGTTTAGGAGACAAGGGAAGGCCTGGCTGAAACAGAAAAGGTAGTTATGTGCGCTACACCTTCAACTTAACCTTTTTTCTGTCCTGGCAATGACAGGTTTCAGCTCCAAAGAGCCCTTGCTGACCAGCCTTCTGCTGACAGAAACCTCCACTGCAGCAGCAGTCGCTGTTTCCTGGAGGAAAAGAAGAAGGGGAGGGTAGATTTCCTTCCCCTCTTGTGTAGGGCCAGGGCAAAGGTGGGAGGACAGGTGAGGCTGTGACAGCTCATGATGTCCTGATGAATATTCACGCAGGCTCTTCGGGACAAATTGGGTGCAAGCTCTCTGAATCCAGTCTCGGCGAGTACATTACCATCAGAGAAAAGTTGACAGCTGTTGCTGATTAAAACATTTCCAACTGCGCAATCAGAATTGCACTATTGAGATGCTAAGTGTAGATAGATTCAGGCTTTATAAATGGCTTAAACATAGTCCCTTAGAGTGATCTGTAGCCTTATTAGTGTATATAATTGGAAATCACTTTGCAGTCATGAATGAATCATTCTGCAGAACACTGACTGGGTAAGAGACACCCTTGGTATTTCCCTTTCTCAGACAAGGAAGGAGGAGACACAGGGCCATGTTTCTTTGTGCTAAGGTTCTCCAACAAGAGTCCTCAGGATCTAACTTTCCATCAGGAAACCCCTTGGATAGAAATGCACATCTGAGATTCTCTTTTCTGGACAGTCCCTTCCCTATTGTTTTCCGGTAGGGCCAGGATCCCTCTCCACTTTCTTCCTCTTTATGGAGGTTGGTTGTACTTGATCAGTAGATGTGCTCTGTGCTGGGATTTACTGTTGCTGGTGGTGTTAGGTTTTGCCATTGCAGCTGACTCTGAGGCAGGTGGATCAGAGCCATAATCACCTCTCTGTAGTTCCCAAATCCAAATATCTTAGAATCACAAGGTTTCTTCAAAACTCACCAGATAGCAAAGCCCATCCTGCTTTGAACTCGTTTGGTGGCAAAACTTGACCTCAGCTGATATTAAACTATTTGTATTCTTTATGCCAATATTGCAGACTTTGATAATGGGGTGCTGGTTTAAACTTTGCTGAGGGTATTGCCACAGATATAGAGTATGAGGCACTCTAAATTCTGAAAAATATTTGGCCTTAGGGATTTGGGGGAATTATCTGTGTAATGGGGAGTGGGACTGGGGAAAGGTACAAAGAGACTATGCAATCAGAAGGGTGATGGGGCAGAGTTGCTTTCCTTTATTCTCCAAGGAATTGCCAAGTACTCTCCAATGACTTCGCCATATTCCCCAAGACCCCTTGCCTCTGTGGTCTCAGTTCTGTATTGCTGCTAGCATTCTGACTGTTATGCCCAAACACTCTTTGTTCCTTTCCAGTGATTGGCTTTGGGCTGGACCCTGACCTTCAGATGGATATTATTACTGAACTTGACCTTGTGAACACCACCATTGGAGTCTCTCAGGTGTCTGGACTGCACAATGGCAGTAAAGCATTTTTATTTCAAGGTAAAATCACTTCTCCCTTTGCATGGGGCGGAGGTTGGGGAGGAGGGTCAGTGTGGGGAGAGTCCATCCGGTGTGTGTTTGTCTGGTGATTGCCTTTGCTATTTTTCTTGGGTTCTGGTCCGGAAGAGTGTTCAGCTATGCAGCAAGTGTTCTGAGGATGGGAGGAGGCGTTAGGGGGTGTAGTGGTGGTGGAATGTTTGCTAATAAAATGATTCCCTGGAGATTTTGGCGGAGATTTAAAGGGTAATGAATTTGCAAGAACTTTGAAAACTATTGGCGCACCATGTTATTTTTGCAGGCGATTTCTTCAGCTATTATCTGTCCATTCACCTATGTGTTTACCTACATCATCACAGAGGATGTATTATGGCTGTCTTCTTTTAAAAGTACAGCTTACCTGGCTCTGCCCATTATAAATTTGATTATAATTCATGAAATCATTCAACAAGCATTTATAAAGACAATATACTGTGGTTCTTAAAAGGATGGGCTCTGGAGCTTTATTGCTTGGCATCCACGTTAGCCCTAATTGGCTTTGAGACTTGCGGTGATTACTTAGCTTGACTGCCTCAGCATTCTCACCTAAAATAATAGATCCTTGCTAAAGCTACCTCATGTGGTAGTTACAGGGATTCAAAGAGCTATCCTATTAAAGCAGTTACATCAATGCTTGATAGACAGTGAATGCTTCACGAATACTAGCTTTCATTTTGGAATTCCTTTCATGTATTAAGCAGCATGCTAATAGTAGGGTTACCAGTAAGGGTAAATAAGATGCAACCGCTACTCTAAAATGTTATGAAGGAAACAGTCATTCCACCAATGGCTATTGAATTAAAATAGCTGTATGCAATGAAGGAAATATATAGGCTGATAAATGAGAGTAATACAGGAAGATCTCATTTAATTGGAGAGGTGGTGGTACTAGAGAAAGGACACTCTGAGAAAATGGTAGGTCAGCAGAGCCTGGACAACATGAATAGAAAGCCTTGTGTAGGAATGGGTTGGTGCTCAGAGCATTCTGGGCAGAGGAAATAGTAAGCAGAAAAGTTTTAAGGTAGAAGCCAGTGGAAAGGGTTGAAAGGTGGTGAATGGCTGGAGAGGAAGGGATGGACTATATTACATTGGAACCGGTGAGCAGAGCTAATGCTCTGCTGATGCGCATGGGTTTGAGAGTGCTGGTGATTTATGGCCAGAGTCCATTCTGATAGGTGGGAGGCCATGTACTTGTTATTAACCGCTGTAAGTAGCACCTTTACCTGTAGGCCATATTTTTTCTTTTTTCCTTCTTTTTTTTTTGTTTTTTGTTTTTTTCCAGTACTGGGAATTGAACTCACGACATCACGCTTGCCAGGCAGGCACCTTGCCGCTGAGCTAAATCCCCAGCGCCCCCTGTAAGCCATATTAACGGTTTTGTACCATACTCGCACAGTGGGGGGGCCTTTGTATAGATTAGAGCAGAGAAGTGAACCGGTTGCATGTGGTAATAAGGCAGCTGGGATATTTCTCAGAAAATACCCAGCAGGGTTCAACACAACCTTTTAAGAAGATAACAAAAGAATTCTTTTAGAACGACTGAATCAACATTATGGAATGAGATTGACATATTCACTGGGTAGATAATTCAAGGCTTGTTGGTGATACATAGCAAATCTACAGATATGTAATGAGAGTACAGATTTGTTACTTTCTACTTACTAAAGAGCTGGTGAAATTTTGAAGCTGGATGTGGGAAAGGGAATACAGACTGGATTACTTTTCTTTCCCCACTGTAGAAGGTCTGCATAGCCACTGCTAGGAGTCCATGCCATTGTCCATCTGACCAAGGCTGCTATGCAAACTTGGTTGGTCTTTAAGCTGCAGGAATCCATACTTCAGCTCCTCAGAGCCAGCTGTTGTGAATGGTACATTATAAATGATTAGTGAAAGGTTGCAATGAATTAAAATTTTTCTGTGTCCTGTCTATCCACAAGAGGCTTGCTCCTGCTTTATTTTTCATTCATTTTTTCATTCGTTCATTCACTCATTCCACATGCATGGGCCCCTTGACCTGGGAACTGTGCTCTCTAATCTGAATGTTCCTTATTTTTCCATCTGTCCCTAGGCTTCAGCAAGGTTTCAACATCTGGGAGGGATTTTTATCTTTGTTGGTAGGAGACTAACTTCATTCTGTGAGTCTGCGGAGGCTTTTCTCTATATCCCATCTCTTTTGATTATATTTGGCACACCTGGACAATCCAAGCTAATTTCCCTTCTCAGGGTCTACAGTTTGATCACATTTACAAAACCCTCTTTGCTGTGTGAGGTGATGTATTCACAGGTTCTGACAGTAGCTTATAGACAGCTGTGAGGAGCCGTTATTCTGCTTACCCCCAAATCTGCTCTCTGGCCCCCAAAGGTTCATGTTGGTCCCACATACAAAATACATTTACTACATTCCAGTATCTCCAAATGTTTTAAATCATACAGCATCATCTCGAAGTCTAAAATCTCTAATTTCATCAGTGGAGAATTCCCAAACTCATCATTTAAACCATTTAATTCAGTTGTGGGTGAGACCGATTTTGGGAAGAAATTCCACTCTACCTGTAGAGCTGTGAAACTGGAAAATAAGTATCTATTTCCAGCATACAGTGGTGGACAAGTGTGGAACACCAGTTATGGAAGGGGGAAATGGAAAGAGGATAGGAGTCACCAGTCTTAAATAGTTTTGAAGTCAAGTGATGCAAACTTCATTGGGTTTCACAGTTTGGGAATAACGCTTTGCCTTCTATGTCTGTAACTCATCCCTCAGGGATGTCGTTTCATGAAGGACAGCATGTGTTTGCAGATGAATAGTTTTATCAACCTGTTTCCTGCCTGCAGAATTTTGGGGGTTTGTCGGCCCTCTTTCATTTTATCCTTTCTGTCACCTTCAGTTCAAGTTCTCAGTGTTTCTGTTGCTATAAATCTCAAGAATATGTTTAGAAATACATTTTTATTTTTGATCAGTACATAGTAATTTTATATGTCCATGGGGTACACTGTGACAGTTCAATATCTGTATACAATATGTAAAGATCAGATTAGGGTAATTGGCATATCCATTACACCAGATATTTATGATTTCTTCATTTTGGCAAAATCTTTTCGACTACTTATTTTGAAATATTCAGTTAATCTTTGTCAACTGTAGCTATCTTACTGTGCTGTAGGACTTCAGGAATTATTCCTCCGGTCCAACTGCACCCTATCATTAAACATCCTCTGTCCATCTCTTTCTCTCCCCTTCCCTTCCCAGGCTCAGGTAACTACCACTCTGCTTTCTGTGAGGTCAGCTTTTTGGTGTCCACATGCGGGTGAAAACATGTGGCATTTGTCTTTCTGTTCCGGATTTATCTCACTTAGCGCAATGTTGTCCATTCCATCCATAATGCTACAAATTTCAAATTTTCCCTCTTTTTTTTAGGTGACAGAATAGTGTTCCATTGTTCAAATATAGTATACTTTACCTATCCCTTCCTCTGTCTATGGACCCCCAGGTTGATTGTGTATCTTGTGTATTATTAATAGTGCTGCAGTAAACATGTGAATGCAAGTGTTTCTTGGACATGCCAATTTCAGTTTCTTTGTATATGTACTCAGTCATGTGGTTGCTGGGTCGGTGTGATGGTTCTGTTTCTAGTGCTTTGGAGGAACCTGCATTCTGTTTTTTAGCTCTACCAGCAGTGTCTGAATGTTTCCCATCTTGGGCAGCTTTGGCAGCATTTGATAATAGCCATTCTAGTGGGGGTCAGATGAAAAGTCATTATGGTTTTGGTTTGCATCTTCCTGCTAGTCAGTGAGATTGAGCATTTTTTCACAAATGTGTTGGTCATTTACATATATTCTTTTGTGAAATGGCTATTTAGGTCATTTACCCAATTTTTAACTGAAGATATTTTTTGATATTGATTTGTATTCCTGGATGTTAAATCCCTGTTGGTAAATAGTTCACAAATATTTTCTCACGCTCTGTAGCTTGTCTCTTCACTCTGTTGCTTGTGTCCTTTGCAGTGCAAAAACCTTTTAATTTGATGTAATCCAGTTTGTCAGATTTTGGGGATCTTTATTTTTGTGGTACTGGAGATTGAAGCCAGGGCTTTTGCACTGAGCTATACTCCTGCTTTTAAATATTTTTAGTTTGAGAGAGATCTCACTAAGTTGCTAAGTTGCCCATGTGGGGTTCTAACTTGCAGTCCTCTTGCCTTAGCCTTCCGGAGTGCTAGGATTACAGGTGGTACTACCACGCCCAGCCTCTTTTGGGGTCTTCTCTAAAACACCCTTATCTGTTCCTATGTCTTGAAGCATTTTTCCTATATTTCGTTCTGCTAGTTTCATAGTTTTGTGCCTTACATTTAAATATTTGATTAATTTTGAAGTGATTTTTATATATGATGAGAAGTATGGCTCTAGTTTTATTCTTCTGTATGGGGCTATTCAGTTTGCGCTGTACCATTTGTTGAAAAACATTTCCATTTTCCAGTGTATGTTCTTGCTGCAGCTGTTGTGAAGAATCAGTTGACTATAAATTTGTGGATTTATTTCTGGATTCTCTATTCTCTTCCAATTGGTCTGTGTCTGTTTTTATGATGTGCCATGCTGTTTTAGTTAATGTAGCTTTTTAGTATGTTGAACATTTTCAAGAATCTTTCAGGTCTAATACATAACAGGGAGTCCCTGTTTATTGGTCCCCAACAACTTATCTCTCATGTCCTTCTAAGCCTTCAATGGCAGCACTTTTAATGCCCATATTTCCACTAAGTCTTTTTACAAAGATTTAGTCTCCACCACAATAGGTTGTTCTTTACCAAGCTCTTCACATTCTTCTCAGCCCTCCTTGGCAGAGCTCTCAGCACCCATGTATCTATCAGCTGTCTGCTGAGGGGGTGCTAGGCTTTTTTGGGCTGGTTTTTTTAAAAAAAATTATTGCATTTTCAATGGAGAAAGGCATCATGTGTTTACAAAACAGCTCTTGAAAA